TTGTAGATATTTTCCGTTTTCTGTTGGTTTGAATTATTTTAATAGGTAAAGATTTCAAACCGATTTCTAACGCTTTGCATAAAGTAATCTAATACTTTAAAAAGTCATTACTTTAAATGAAAGAAAAACTTTTATTCCAACTAAGATAATATGGCAACGCTATTTTAAAACAAGGAAAGCTCTAAGATTTGTCTGAATATGCAAGTTTACACCGTATATGTATTGTAGTGGCAGTGCGCAAAAAAATGGTAAAAGTATATATTGGGTATAAAATATAGGTGTTATGATGACAAATTTGTGGTTGGGGGTTAAGTAGCTTGCGTCCGTAGGCCGTGTACCCTCGAGAGCCTACACGTGACCCTTGGGTGGTGCCAAATAAGCTGCAAATTCCGGCGAAGCCTAGCCGCCAAACAGTTATGGCTGTGTTCCGGGTTGACGTCCATAGTAGCCGCTCTAGAGTGAAAGGTCGGTACAGTTGCACTGCACTGATTTGGTTGATGTCGGGGCTCCCTTGTTGTTGCGCTGGGAACCTAGACGCGGAGGGTAACGAGATCCGAAGCACGGTGCTCCGCTGGCCGACCGCAGGTAGTAGGGGGCATAATTAGTTGATTAGCATCCAGTGAAAGGCTGCCCCGCCAACTCGCGAAAAATTCCGGGGTGCTCCATCGTGCCGGGTGGCGACCAGATGAAAGGACCCGATGGCCACTCCCGGGGGGGTTCGGGCGTCCCTGCGCGCTCCAGTCTAGTTTCCGATCGGCGTACCATACAGGGTATGTGCCGCATGACTTTCAGTGTAGTGTCTCGTACAACTGCCTTCGCTCTCCCCATTCACTCTACCTCTAACATGAAAAGGTCAAGGAAATTGAGGAAGGCTAAACAGCAAATGCACGTCCTTTCACTTAAAGTGCACCTCTGGAACATCCGAGATCTGCACTCCATACTCTCATCTGTCCACCACCATCTTGAGATTCAAAGGCGGAACGGAGACCCAAATTAGATGTCCTTCCGACACGGCGTATCTACATTACCCAGGTTACATTTTGGAGCACAAATTTAAGCAGCGCGCTGGTACCTGCTTTTACGCTCGTGAAGACATCTGTTCTAAACGTCTCCGTGACCTCGAAGACCCCGATCTCTCTGTAATGTGGGTTCTGTTGGACACTGGACTGGAACAAATTGTCTACGCCAGTATGTACCGCATTCTGGAGACCCGGAGACGACTAGACTGTTCAACTATCTCTGCAGCTCGGCGGAAACAGTCCAACAACGGTATCCTAAAGCGCAACTTGTCTTTTTGAGGGACTTTAATGCCCATCACCAGGAATGGTTGTTCCCATACCAAAAAACCGACCACGCTGGAGGAGAGGCGCGGGCATGTGCTCTAACGCTAGACCTCACCCAGCTGGTGAGTTGCGCTACCCGGGTACCGGACGTTGACGACCACACAGCCAATTGCCTGAACCTTCAGCTGACAACCGATCCAGACCGCTTGCAAGTACCGGTCTCGTCCCCACTAGGGACATCCGATTACTGTCTGCTGAAATCTGTATCTGTCTACTCCCCACCCGATCTCAGTACGAGAAGTACTAGGAGGATGTGGCGATACAAGTCAGCAGATTGTGATGCGATGCGGCATTTCTTTGCATCTTGTCCCTGGCGGCAGCTGTGCTTCTCTTCCGACGATCCGACATGCTGCGCGTCTGCCCTCTCTGAGATGATTATTCGGCCTATGGAATACTTTATCTCGGCGTGCCTGATCATTTCGTGCACATCATTCGAGACTTTTTGTCGAATCGCTCTTTCCGCTACCGAGTCGAGGGCGCACTCTCCTCCCCTCTCCCCGTGAGAGTTGGAGTCCCAGAGCAAGGCTCTGTTCTTTCGCCCCTCCTATTCTTATTCTTTCTGTACACTAGCGATATCTCGAAATATCAGTCAGTAAGTCTCGCCCTCTTTGCCGACGACGCTGCGCTCTATTATTCGACGCGCAGCTCCTAATTAGTTTCCGCAGCTCTGCAATCTGCCACCACATGCCTAGACGAGTGGTTTCGCAGATGGAGAATCGAAATCAATCCTGATAAAAGCGCGGCGGTATTCTTCACGCGAAGTAACCTACCCAGTCGTAGGGTACAAAACCTCACCCCGATCTCGCTCTTTGGCCACCTAATCCCTTGGGTAAACACGGTCAAATACTTAGGAGTTATGCTCGATAGGAAGTCGTCACTCAAAGGACACATGAAAACCGTCCGCGATCGCGCCCACTTTGTTATGAGCCGCATCCACCCCCTTCTCAACAAGCATAGCAAACTCTCCCTTCGTAATAAGGTGAGATTGTACACGACCTGCATCCGCCCAATCATGACGTATGCCAGCGTCGCATTTGCTCAAGCAAATCCCGCGCTTATACACCGCCTGCAGGCTCTTCAAAATAGATTCATGCGCAACGCGACGGGAGCCCCGTGGTACCTGCACAACGCTAACCTCCATATAGATTTACGGCTCCCCACAATAGCCCAATTCATGAAACAGGCATCGAGGAAATACTTCGACTCTGCTCTTCACCACCCCAACCCCCTCGTGGCATCCAACTATAACCCCCTCAGGGAACATCCCCACCGCGAACGTATGGTCCTACGTGCCGCGGTCGGCCAAGGGAAGTCCTTAACGACCCTGACGACCCTATCACTCTCGCCACTTTGAACGCTAGTCAGTCTCGTCCCTCACGCACCGTTCTCCGGCGAGGTCGCAGAGCCCCTCATTTTAGCACAGAGTGGTAGATTCTCTCCCATAGTACGTCCTTCTGGCGGAAGTCTTCAGTAGCGCCCTGAGCCGAGTCGTGCCCACTTGAGCGCCCTCAGGCCCGACTTAGTTTTAAGTTTAGTTTGTTTTACGGGTTATGAGCCTTCAGCTCGCCCTTTTCTTCCGGTGGCGCAGTCAAGGCCATCAGCGGCCAACTGTAAAGTGTTCTTCAAAAAAAAAAAACTTTGCGTGCCTCTCATTTATTTACCAAAAATTGTATATAACATAATAAGAACTTAACATAATAAGAACTTATTCTAATAAGACTCACGACGAATATGTACAACAGATAATTACAATAGCAAATCACAATTACAAACTTATAAAATTACGTAAGAAATCACAATAGGCGCGAACACATTTTCGTCCTTAACAATGTCATTTATTAAACACCTGACGACCCGCGCTGTGCAACGCTATTGCAACCGCGAGATTATGCGAATGTGTGAGCCCGTACATGGCGCGCGGCGGGCGTCCACACATAAAAGCCGCGCTTTTACGTTTGTATGGAGTTACCATACTTGGTTACACGCTTCATGGTCGCAGATTGATCGGCCAGCGGCATATGACAGCTTTAAGAACAGACATATCTGACTACCCTCACTCGGTGTCGACGACTACCTTCATCTGGATTACATGTGGCGTTACCATTCGCTGGCCAGTCAACCCGTGACCATGGAGCGTGCTAATCATTTAGTGAATAGGTTGCCGGCCTCCGTGGCCGAACGGTTACCATGCTGGTCTGCTACGTAGAGGTTCCGGTTTCGATTCCCAGGCCGGGAGAAATATTTGCATGGCCTACATTTATTTCTTTCTTATGTGATTTGTGGTTGTCTACGCGTGTGTTCATGGCACCGCGATACAAGGTTTCCCTAGTGTGGGGCTATGCGTGTGTGCGTTATTAATATTAATAACCACTAAAATTTTAAAATGGGAATTAAAAATATTTAATTTTATTTTTATTTTATGTATTTCATATGTTCATTGGATAATTTGGTACCAAATACTTATGTACTTATGTTTATACATAACATGTAATATTTTGCTGCTAATAACCCTAAAAGTTGTCTATTTGCTTATTGTGTAGTCTTGCTTGTAAAGTGAGCAAATCTCAATGTTAAACTCAACTTTAACAAATACGTGCGAAATATTTGATGAGACATTATGTCTTCATTTGCATCGCTACGTGAGCTTCTGCTGGTGTACGCTTTATTTTCTTTTTATTCTTTTTATATCTATCGAAGAATCGATAACCGACGGGAGAAGTGAGTTCTAGAGTGGAGACGAAAGCTCGGCACATATAGTGTAGGACGCCTTCTGGGCAGATAGAATGACGATTTTGTAAAGGTTCCTGGCAGCAGATGGATGCGACAAGCTGAGGAACTGCCGAAATGGCGTGCATTGGAAGAGACCTATGTCCGGCAGTGGACTGTGATAGACTGATGACGAATTCTTTTTCTTCTTCGAGTTCCTCTCATATTAGAGGTTGGAATCATCATGGCGAACCTGACTTTAGAGGCTGCATCTTTAAAAAGTAAGTTGGTTGCTGCAGTCGCACAATTCCCTAAAATTCTTTAACCAGGAGTGCCATGCTGCCTTCGACTGACGTTTTTCAGCAATTTTTCCCTGGATGAAAGCTGAAGTAATTAGTACTTTTTGTTCCTCATGACGTGGCAGAAATACGACACCTTGCTGAGCTTGATGCTATTCTTAAACTCCACCTTTTTCGTTAGCTTATTGAGTACTTTATAGTATATTTTTAATCGACTTGAAAAAAAGAAGGAAGTTCGCAATGCAACTGTATTTTTTGAGTGTGTGTAACTGCCTTGGTGGCCGACCGGTTTCTATGTCCCAGGCCGGGAGAAACATTTTTTCGGTTTACGTTTATTTCTCTCGTGAGTTTGGGTGTGATTTGTGGTTGTCTATGTGTGTGTCCATGGTACCAGCGAGACACATTATATTATTTTCACCAAGTATCAAGTAATTCGACATTTATGAACCGATTTAGATGATTTCTTCGAAAAAGGGTACCTCAGTAGGCGTCTCCGTGAGACCGCCCAGCAGTGGGACAGGTTGTTGACTAAAAATGTATAAAAAATACACTAAAATTGTTTATTAAACAATTACTTGTTTGATTTACAAATTTATGTGTAAAGAAGTAAGTAGTACCTATAAGTAATGTACCAATTTCTTTTTTGTTACAGAGCGCCTAAATGTTCTTTATGAACGTAATTGGACGCGTTTGGTGCACGAGCAGCTGCGGAAGTTCGAGTCTTCAATCGTGGCTGCAGCCAGACAATCACCGGATGCTCAACCCCCGGAACTGACACTTGATTCGAAATGGACCTTCTCCGGAGCCATTATATATTGCATCACTCTCATCACTACTATAGGTTAGCACAATGCCCTTTCTTTCTGCCCTTTTATGTATTATTCGTTTTTTGAAATGATTCAATTGGGATCAATTTTCAAAAGTACTCGATTCCGCTTTGCGCGCTACATCCTGATGTCTTTGGTGTGGCTTTGATCACTCTTTATTTCGAGATTTTAGCACTGTGACATCCATATAGAGACAACAATTATATAATTATGAGTAATTCTTATATTATATATATTAGAAAAGAAAATTGTGCGCAGCATTAATATCCTCATGGAGTTAAGAGAAAATAATACTCAAAATAATGTAATTAATTAATTGGAAACGAAACTATTTTTTGAGATTTAAATCGCGTATATTCGTTTTTTCAAAGAAACCAATGTTTCGGGCTCTTCACAGGTCCTACGATCACAGCTGACTGAGAAATAAAGTATTCAACCAGTTATGTCGGACATTAATGAGAGCCTCACATTTCTAACCTACAGTTACAAAATGTATTTAGGTTTTGGAATAAGTCTTGCTAGACACACGTCATGTACTCCTTTGATCTAGTAAATGGCTAGTCTACGCTCAATTGTTGATGGTTTCACATGGCATATTGCAGTGTAATACGCGATATACGCGATTTAAAAAAATAAAAAATAGTTGTGTAGCGAAAACTCTAAATAATAAATTTACTTTGGTTCTTGTAATTTGTACGTTGGTTTCATATCTTACTGAGAATATTATTAAATCACTCAGCTATATTGAGTATACAAGTTTCAGTTTGGTAAGCCTTATAAAGCTCTTTAAATTATTTCAATAAAGGCAGTTGTTAAATTGCTTTTTCGTAAATGACTATTTACAAGACAAGGTCAGTTTGAAGCAAACTTTGTCTTAATAATGATATCTACGAGTAGAGTAATAGATATTACAACTAGTTTTCAGATTTTGAAGTAAAACTACTTTTATAATGAAATATACTAATATAATATACCTGTACATATGGTTTTACTGTTGATTTTAGTTATAATCAAGATTTTTTTCTATACTCTCTATCGTTTCCCCCACTCTCTTGATTACTTAAAAAAATATATTTATTTACAGGGTACGGCAATGTATCACCACGAACAGCGGTAGGTCGGGTAGCTACGGTGGCGTATGCGGCCGCCGGTGTGCCTCTCACTTTAGCCTGTCTCGCTGGGCTTGGAGCGTCCCTAGCAAAGCTCGCTAGGTTAGGATGGCTAAGAGCTACGAAGAGAAAAGTGCCGAACACTTGGAGAAAAGATGGCGAGGTAAGAACATATGAGATAAATAGCTATTGCCCACGACTTTGTCCGCGTTGAATTTTTGCACGCATTATTTATTATACTACTAAAACATAAACGAAACTTTTTTGTACCCAAAAAGTTTATACACATGACTAAAATGTAAAAACATGTTGCTTGTGTTGACCTGTAAAGGATCGAAACCAAGTTTGAAACAAATCGCACCACGCGTTAAAAACTTCCTATAAAAACTTTGATAGCCTATTTAGAAGTGGTTTTGAAAAAAGTCATGTCAGTCTTTTGCCATTTGCGTATAGAATACTTGTAATAAGTTTAATTTTTGTAAGTTCAAGGAATACGATTTTTCATACAAACATTTTTACACTTTTTCACCCTCTTAGGGGTTGAATGTCGATAAATCCGTTCCTAGTATAGCCGGCACTAAATAAAAGTAACATACCCTGATGTTTTCACGTTTCTAGGACTTAGTTTTTCCTTTGCGCATATCAATCAGTGAATTGCTCCGGACCTTCTCCTCTATATAAGATTAACTAGCTGGTGTATTACACCCAAAAAATAAAAAAAACACATTATATAAGTACAATACATAATAAATACATTACGAGAAAAATACTAAACTTAAATGGTAAGCACAGTGTACCTCATTATGGTTCTTGTTTTTTAAATAACACGAATAAATAATTATGTAATAAACATAGGAAATGAAACT